GGCAGTCGGTGTGTAGGCATACGTAACACATGTCCCAACCACCATATATGTATGCGTTCAATTATTTTGAACAAACTACTCCTTTGAGGGCACTTTGAAAAAAGAAGGCTCTACTTAAAAAGTTGCATGCATGCAACAAGGCTATTGAATTAATTTTGTTAAAATTTTCGAAATACTATATAATGATTCCAAATAAATGTTGAATAAAATCTAGCAATGAATAATAGATGAGTAAGGTTTAAAATTGGCATCAATTACAATTGTTCTCTAACATGAATTTCAATCACTTCACTACTACTATCTCATATCATGAATATTAGATTTCCTATTCGTCATTGAGCTTGTAAAAACTACTTTACATACCACCTCTCTGATGTTACTTACTTATTTAGTCGCTTACTTACGCCTGTTACCCACCCGTAAATGAGCATAGGCCACCGACTAGAGAATCACTTTTCTGGTTAGAGTTGGATTTCTACCGGGACTGGTAAGCCAACTCTCCATGCTCTCAACCCTCCTTATTTTGTTATTCGGGTTTGGAACAACCGGCAGTAACTCCAGGGATGGGTTCCATGTGGAGTTCCTCCGATGTATAAAGTCATTCATTCTCTAAATTCTAGTGATTATATATCATAAAGCGTAGGGTTCGTCACTAGGTACGTTTTGGGCTATGAGTTCACCTTAGTTGATAAACGCGAACGAGACAATTACTAACGTCCAGATAGGCTACCTTGAATCCCAAGCTGAAGACAGAAGGCTTCGTAAGTGTAGAAAGTATATTCTACAAACACCCAGCAATCACAATACAATCAAGCATACAACTCTCGTTTATTTATACATCATAGAAACGTCCTTGGGACAGTTACGAAAATAGCACACTAAAATACACAGCAGCCAATCACAGCCATAGATTTTCCTGGTGGGAAATGAAATCTCAAGGTCAGCTGATCAGCCCATGCTCGCAAACGTGAAATCCAAAATAAGGCATTTATCAAGCGAGTTCTGGGGATCTAACATCCCCAACATAAATAAACACCATTTTGCTTGAATTCGACCATAAATCATAGTTTTTCACTTTGTTTTTATTGACTAAGTTCTGTTCTTTCCCCTTTTCGTTATAAAAGACAGACATCGTAGATGCTTTTTCCTCTTTCAATTGTTGCTATTACGCTTACAGACAAAATAGACTGCAAGATGTCAACCTATTTATCTATCTATCTATCTGATTGATAAATTTGAATGTGTTGTCCATGTTTAAAAGATTTTTTATTCACCTAATTCTCGAACAATGAAATACATGAATGTATACTTTGTAGTGCTTATTAATATTATTAATAAATATTATACTTTAGTTAAACGTTGGGGACAAATATTGCCGTATTACAGTTGGATGTAATCATTTTCACTATGAGGTTCTGAAGATTGTTGAGTTACTTTTTAAAATCATGAATCAATCATTGTTAGACCATCATTAGAGAAAAAAACTAGGAAGTACTGGATGTCCGTTTCGTCCTTGTGTGACACTTACCAACGGTGCGCATCCACGACTACCACTGCTCGCAACACATTAACGCCATTAGATGACGCCGACTCAATGGCTTAGAAGTTAAGCTTTCGCTTGCAAGACCGAAGGTCTAGGGTTCAAATCCTGAAAGTGGCGAGAGTCATGAATGCGCACCGCTTGCTGATGATGAGTCCCACCCACATCAGGATGAAACAGGCGTCTTTCAATGCTTCCAGGTTTCTAATAATAGTCTAACGATAACTGAGTGATAATTTCAATGTGTAAAATTTTAAAAAAAAGTTCATATTATGCGCCAATTTGTTCTACCCGTGTTTATTCTGCCGTCAGTTATCTGATGATAATCAGTATATAACACCATTCATGTTTATGCTTGTTGTATTGTGTTGTTTTATGAGAAGAAAAAAAACGTGATACATTTTATTAAAAAGCATTTAATAATAACATCAATAATAATAATAAATAATTTTTTCAGATTATTTCTATCAACAATCTCTGACATGTTAACTTAACTTAACTAACTACTAAGCTTAGCTCTCTCTAGGTTAAAATCATGAATGAATTTTTTCGGCTGAATACACACGGAAAGTTTTTTATTGAGTCAGATAAATAAATAAATTAATAATGTCACCCGTAAAATGAAAAAAATAGCTGAACTCTCACAGGAGAAAAAAACAATCTCTTTTTGAAACATCAAGGTCAGCAGTTATGGCAGTAATAACAACAATAATTTATTTATGTTATCTGAGTTGAAAATTAGTTTGTCAATGATAAAGTGTATACATTTATAAGTCAGAAAAGTACATCACTACTATATACGCGTTTTACATGGTAGTAGTGCTAGTAGTTAGTAACCAAACCAATAAATCATAAATGAATATTAACGAAAATGGTTACTTTTAAGAAGTACAAATCAAAATCTATCGACTGTTAATTATTTTTCTAATTTTTAAATTCATATATAAATTTTTGAGAGTTGTACTATTAATATGTCAGTCAGTCAGATGCAACGTAGAACTTCATACGTAAGTACATCAGTTCATGTTGCCATACCACATCAGCACAGAGATAGAATTGTCAATTCAAATCCAATAGTAGAAGAGGTAGTAAAGGTATTAGAAGTAATCGGAGAGGTTAGGATTAGAAGATATTATTCAAGAAGTATGATTCAGTGAGATACGTTGAGAGACCAAAGTAGGTGTTGAAGAATCCAGCAGATTAGGATTTAAGAGAACACAAGGAATAAATGCACCGGCGCCATTGCGAACGGTTTTGAGCCATGTCATTCAGGGTATCTAACCATTGATTATTATCATCTCGTGGACCCCAACCAGGTAGTCGACAATTACCGACATGACTCAGTCCACTTGTCAATGATTTCATGGATTTGTGCCATGTTTTGGTCTGGCCGCCCCTAACTTTCTTCCAACCTACTCTTACACCACAAAACAAAGCTCGTCGAGGCAGTCGGTGGTTAGGCATACGCAGCACATGTCCCAATTACCTCAACTGATGAAGTTTCAGCACTTCATCTATTGGTCTGCCATTCTTACCTAGCACCCGTTTCCTAATAACAGCGTTGCTCACTCGGGTGTCCCACGATATACGAGCAATGCTTCGAAGACACCTATGATCGAAAACCAGTAACCTACGAATATCTTCTACTCTCATTGGCCATGTTTCAGAGCCATAAAGTAAGACGGAGCGAACTACTGCTCAGTACACTCATCCTTTAGTCAGCAAACGGATATCTCACCTATGCCATAAGTGACGCAGGTTGGAGAAAGCCAGTCGAGCCTCCTGATAATCACTGGAAATACTGACTGACTGACTGATGAAAAAATTCACAGAGTTGATTATCTCATCTTATTTTTATCATGAGGTTGACTGTTTTTTATTTAACTGATATACAACTAGTCCATTTTCCTGGAAGAGGTTGGTTGAACTTAGAACTTTTGAATTGTATGAACAATGCATGCACCACAATCATCGTACATGAAAAGCGTCACAATAAACCAATCGGCATTAATGATGATGAATCTCACATAATAGAACAAAATGGTTGTGGTGTTTTAGTGAGTGCTGTTATGTCCAGCTTTCACAGGGCTCGTCCCATTTGTCATTTTACCTTGTCAGTCATTCGTTCATATCTGCGTTGTTTTTATTCGTGTGTGTGTGTGGGCAAGCCCATTTCGCTTATTACACGTCTAGCTTATTCTGGTCTGACTATAAATTCTTAGACATGCTTCATCGAGTCGAGTTGGCTCACTCCGCTTTTGCCACATCGCTTCACTTCAACGTGCTTGTATGCTTTTCATTATCGTGTCTGCGTGAATGATGATTGTCTGAAATAACCCGATTGTATAGTTATTGGTGAGTATCTCCGCCTGTCTGTCTATCTATCTGAAATAAACTCATCCAACAGAATCCGTGTTTGGTTTCTGATTACCGTCATCGCACAAACGGGGTTTGCCTAGGCATAGTAGACGAAAACTGATGGGAATTCATCGGTTAATTTTGTTATGAAACTAACTCTTCAGTAGTGTGCAACTGAGTCCATTCTAGAGAGGTCTCACCCATCATAACCAGCTATCGACTAGGTAAATTGTAATTATCAGTTTGTGTATTTTCTGTCGAAAACGAGGCTGTTTTCATACTTGAACATGATCAATAGTTGGAGGAAACATTAGATGAAAAGACTCAAAGTCAGCCACTCTGTTATTTGTTACCTACCGGCTGCTCCTCTGTATCGATTTGATGGTGTGTATGTGTGCGTAAGTGTGTGTGTCAGGTGACTGAATGAATATTATTTCTGTCAATCAGTGGCTATAACTGATGATATTTTTAATTGTGATTGGGACATGTGTTACGAATGCCTAACCACCGACTGCCTCGACGAGCTTTGTTTTGTAGTGTAGGAGTAGGTTGGAAGAAAGTTAGGGGCGGCCAAACCAAAACATGGCAGATATCCATGAAGTCATTTACAAGTGGACTGAGTCATGTCGGTAGTTGTCGACTACCTGGTTGGGGTCCGCGAGATGATAATAATCGATGATTAGATACCTTGAATGACATGGCTCAAATTCGTTCGCAATGGCGCCGGTGCATTTATTCTTTTTGTTCTCTCAAAACCTAATCTTCTGGATTCTTCAAGCCCTCTAGTTTTGTCTTTCTAAACTCTTCTCACTGAATCATACTTCTTGAATAATATCTTCTAATCCTAACCTCTCCGATTACTTCTAATACCTTTACTACCTCTTCTACTAATGGATTTGAATTGACAATTCTATCTCTGTGCTGATGTGGTATGGCAACATGAACTGATGTACTTACATACAAAGTTCTACGTTGCATCTGATTGACTGACTGACTGATATTTTTAATTGTTTTAAGATGAACTACTTTCTTAATTACTTATACTCTTCATCCATTCTCATCTTTTTATTTCATTTCTTACATTCATAACAGTCAATAGATGCAACAAACTAACACTAACACTACTTGTGAAACATACATAAACTGAATATCGATTTTCCCGCTGAATTGAAACTAAACATTATCAATAACGATTTGATCACATACACTAAGCAATAATGATACTATAAAAATGTCTACTTCATTAATGATGCATGAGAATCTTTTATATAACAACACTGAAGAAGGCGAAGAATCACAGCAACAACAACAACAACAACATTTACACTATCATGATACTACTGATAATAATAATAATAGCAGTAGTATTACTAGTACTAATCAGAATTTAACGTTAAACGATGAATTCATCAAACAAACAGACTCTTCAATGGAATCAGTGAATTCTATTAGAAATAAATTATTATTTCCAGCATTTTTATCAAATAACTTTTCATCAACATCATCATCTTCATTGGCGAAATCAATGAATAATAGTCGATTACATCAGCCACAACAACAGCCACAACCACCACAATCCCAATCCCAATCTCAACAACAACAGCAGTCATTGTTGAATGAGACTTTTCATCAGCATCAGCATCAGCATCATCACCAGCAGCCGCCGCATCATACCACCACGAATGTGTTAATGTCACGTGAAGAAGCGTTGGTCACACTGACCGAGAAAACTTCTTATCCAATATTACAAGAAAATGGTCAACGATGCTATGGTCCACCACCAAATTGGCATGGACCAAAACCACCAAAAGGTTGTGAAGTCTTTATTGGGAAAATACCACGTGATTGTTTTGAAGATGAACTAGTGCCAATATTTGAATTAGTAGGCAAAATTTACATGTTTCGTTTAATGATGGATTTTAGCGGTTGTAATCGTGGCTATGGATTTTGTATTTACACAAATCGTGATGATGCCAAACGAGCTGTCAGTGAATTGGATTGTTATGAAATACGTAAAGGTAAAATGTTAGGTGTTTGTTTTAGTATTGACAATTGTCGTCTATTTATCGGGGGTATACCGAAATCGAAAACTAAAGATGAAATTATGTTTGAAATGTCTAAAGTGACTGATGGTGTAAAAGATGTGATTGTTTATCCAAGTGTAGCGGATAAAACAAAGAATCGAGGATTCGCGTTTGTCGAGTATGAAAATCATAAAACAGCTGCGATGGCTCGACGTAAATTAATTCCAGGACGAATTCATTTATGGGGACATCAAATTGCTGTCGATTGGGCAGAACCAGAACGTGAAGTTGATGAGAATATTATGTCAAAAGTAAGTTTTTATTGTCATATAGATTTTAATTTTTTTTTAGAGCACAGTTTTGGAGGTTTGCGTTTTTACATATTTGAAATCATCAATCAATCATTGTTAGACCACCATTAGAAACCTGTTAGCACTGGACGGCCAAATTTTCACATAAATTAACAACCTACTTATTAACAGTTACAAGTAACATGATATGCTAGCTAGTAAGGCTAAACACAACCATGTGATTTCTTCTGGAATTTCCGTGGAAAGAAATCAATCACTTTTAGACAAATATTTTTTCCCATCATTCTTGGCCTTTGAAAACGAGAATCTAAAAATTTCACATCCTGATTCCTAGCAGCATTTTAATATTCTCAGTAAATGCTCTCCAATACACGTAATAAGTTTCATGTTTCGGTATAACAACACCGTTATTGTATCTTTAAAAGTCATGCTTTCCATTATCTATAGTACGATGAGGCTTTTCTGTCTGTACTAAAACAATGTAATGAATTTTTACAAACATTTCAGGAAGAATATAATGTATTGTTGTGATACCACTCATTTTGCAACAAACTATTCTTTCTTCAACAATGGGTTGATTCAAATCATCGAAAACTAAGATGATATATGTTTAAACGAAATTTATCTCACAAATTGTATTTGAATCAATGAAGTCTTGATAGCCAAAAGTACAATAGAACTAAGTCATATAATATTATACTGAAACGGCTCTTTAAAAACTGGCTGACACTACCATTTAGTCGTTATATATATATATATATATATATATATATATATATATATATATATATATATATATATTGTTGGGGATGTTAGATCCCCAGAACTCGCTTGATAAATGCCTTATTTTGGATTTCACGTTTGCCAGCATGGGCTGATCAGTTGACCTTGAGATTTCAATTTCCACCAGGAAAATCTATGGCTGTGATTGGCTACTGTGTATTTTAGTTGTGTGCTTTATTTTATTGTGATTGCTGGGTGTTTGTAGAATATACTTTCTACGCTTACCAAGCCTACCTTTTACAGCTCGGGATTCAAGGTAGCCTATCTGGACGCTGGTGATTTCGTAATAGCTTCAAGCGTACCTAGTGACGAAACATAACATATATATATATATATATCCCCTCTAGGGCTATTGTCGATCCCAAGACCGGATAAAGAAGGAGGGTCGGGAGTGGGATTAGAGACCCCATCTCGTCGAAAACTAACTCGCTAAAAAAAACGGTAACCATTTATATATTTTCTAATTCACATCTAAAATGTAACTCTTAAAAAAGGTGTGAATTGTAATATACTACTGACATAATATAATTTGTCTCACCAACTTGTATTGGTTTTTGTAAGGTGGGTATCATCAAACAAATTATTTTTAAGTGACTACAAATCTATTAATATTGCCTTAAAAATCATTCAAAAATTCAGTCCATACTTATCAGTACCAATTCTATGTGTTATTCAATAACAAGTTCTCATCATCAAATTCAGAATGAATTATTTTTCGAATACACCTTATACTACTCATAGAATTTCATGATTGATTTAAGTAACATATAGCCTTATTTTGTATTTATTTTTTCATAGGTTCGTATAGTGTATGTCAGAAATTTAATGCTGGATACAACTGAAGATGTGGTAAAAAATCATTTCAATCGAGCAATCGGTGCAGTCGATGCTGTGGAACGTGTTAAAAAAATTCGTGATTACGCATTTGTACATTTTCGTGATCGACTAAGTGCAACGGCTGCATTAAAACAACTACATGGTACGGTTTTGATTTTGATGAAATTAATAAGGGGAAGATTTGTTTGTTTTTTTATCAGGAAAATATGACTTTTAATAGAGTTGTAGTCTGGTTTATTCAGACAGTTTGAATTGTCGCGTTATTGATTTTCAACGATAGGTGTCTCCGAAGTAGTGATCTATATCCTGGCATTGTCGAGTAACGATGCTGGTGTTTGGAAACAGGTACTGGGTAAGGATGGCAGGTCAATTAATGAATTAAGGAATACTCATCATTTGAGATGGTTGAGATATGTGTTACAAATGTCCAACCGCTGACTTCCTCAGGGAGCGATGTTTTGTTGTTTTGGGGTAGGCTGGAAGGAAGTTAGTGGTGGCCAAACCAAAAACATGGCATAAATCCATGAATTTACTAACAGCTGAACTGAGGCATGTTAGTAGATGTAGACTATCTAGTTGAGGTCCACGATACAACAGTAAGTTATGGTTAGATAGATATACCTTAAATGAGATGACTCAAAATTGTTTGTAATGGCGAAGATGCATCCATTCGTCGCGTTCCCTCAAATTTTAATCCCTCATCACCTCTATCTTTCTCTTTTTAAATTTATTTCACTAGATTCTACTTCTTGAATAATATCATCGAACCTTGATCTCACCGATTACTGCCAATACTTCTACTATCTCGACCACTGTGGTATTTCAACTAATAGTCGCAGCTTTGTGTTACTGTGGTCAGGCAACTTGAACGGATGTATGCACGTTCGAGCTTCTACGTTGTAGCTGACTTGTCTTGATTAACAATCAGGATAGATGTCCAATAGAATCGAATGATAAATTTTTCTCATTTATAGAGCTAACAACTTGTTGTTCTTCCATCTTTGATTTTCATAATTTGCATTTGGCTCTCTCGTCCATTTTTTATTTACTCACTAACTTTACACATTTTTGAAACCATGAACCGATCAATGTTAGACCACCATTAGAAACCTGGAAGCACTGGACGGACGTTTCATCCTGTTATGGGACTCCTCAGCAGTGCGCATCCACGACTCATGCACCCCGCAGGACTCGAACCCAGGACCTTCGGTATTGTGCGCGAACGCACTAACCGATAGACCACTGAGCCGGTATCTAACGGTGTTAATGTCTAACTTGATCAAATTCACGGAGTTGCGTAACCTCATACACAGTCTTCGGTAGTTACTGTCTACACCTGAACAGGTTGAACTTCACTGATCACGTCTTCCCACTAGAACTCAGAGAAGATTCCTCACGAAGCTAGTCACTAGTGAGCACAGGTAATTTGCATTACGGGTGGTGGTCTAACATTGATCGGTTCATGGTTTCAAAAATGTGTAACTTAACAATCTTCACAACCCCGTAATGCAAATCACTAACTTTAATTATTTGTTCCTATGACTTGACTTTTTTATACATGGAGAAATTTGAAGAATGCAATTTTATAGACAGATAGTTTGTGTGAAAGGTATTTTCTAGGAATGTTAAACAAGTCATCTCAGAAAAAACGCAAATTTACCTTACTGGTAACTTCTGATACATACCTTAAGTATCAATTTATTATAGATTTTTTAACCTACCGAACAAAGAGACTTGCAGGTTTTAAGCAAATCTATGACTTCGACTAGGCAGTCAGAAGATACCGAGCAATGAGATCTGCAGAATACTTCATTCGGGTTTGAAACCAGACTTTTGAGGTAATGCACGACCATCACTTGATGGCAACTAAGTTTCTAGTCTTTGTGACCCTCGTGAGACTATGGATGATCACTGCTGACGGGGGTCACATACATACTTCGATAAAACAGCCTCCTCAGGCTCCCCCTGTTCTCATTTTTTATCTAAACTAAATTAGGCTCACGATGTCAAACGTCAAATTCCACAGCCTCTACAACTAAAGTTGAAGAATATTATCATGCTCACTATCATAGGATAGACGGAATACGGTAATACTCATCACTTGAGTTAGGTTCTGAATCATATCTATACTACTTAAATGATAAAAGTAGCCAAAACACTGTGATTACATTCTTATGACAATAAAAATGTTTGAATAATATTTGAATGAAGGTAGATTAGATAGATAGATGTTCATGAAAACTAGAGACCATATATAATAAACACATGTATTTTTCTATCACTCCAGAAGTAACTGTCAACTGACTGAATTTTTTCACTCTCTTCAATAATATCTGTAAGCATTCAACAAAACAAGATGTAATCTGGTATTCTTCAACATTTGTAACTACAGAAAATCCCATTTCTTTTAGTAATGGTCACGCAGTTTCAGGTTTTTCACATGTTCTCAGCAATAAAAATGTAACTTCTTTAGACTAAGTATGGTTTTTGGAAACTGAGCTTTGGACTTAACGGTTTTTTTAAAGGTTAATGATATTCTCCATAACCGAAACAGGTGACGCGAAATGTTGAACATAGAAAAATCTCACGGGAACAAGGCTGAGTAACTTTACCCGCAGATAGTTTGCAGAGAGCTTCTTTGTTGCATCGTACAATTGTCTCATGTTTCCTTCCCTTACAGACTTTTCCGCCGTTACTGTTAGATATTCCGTTTGTCAGCTCTGATTCTCTTCTTCACTTCCCTGTTTGCTTCTGTGTGTGCAGCTTATGCCTTAACTTTCTCTGCTCTTGTTCGGCCGACATTGATTGCTGCCTTCTTGTTCTTCCTTTCTTCAATTTATGCAAGAGTATCAACAGAGATCCATTCCTTGTGATGCTACTTCTTGTGACCCAGAACTTTGTGACATGTTGAAGTGATTGCCTCCTTAAACCCTTTCAAAGTGTTCTCCAAGGTTGTTTCCTCTCTGTTGAGTAGACCGTGAGAATTCTTTCAGTTTTCCAGTATCCCGAAGAAAGGACCTATTAAACTTTTGCAATGTTATCCGCCACGTCGTCCGGTGTTGCTTGAGTTTCATTTTTATTTTGACGATCAGCAAGTGGTGATCTGCGGCTATGTCATTTCCTCTCTTGGTTCTCACGTCCTCCATGGTCCCCTTGGACTTTTATTGATGCAGATATGGTCGACCTGGTTTTGAGTAGTGTGATCCGGTGAAACTCATGTAGCTTTGTGTATGCGTTTGTGTGGGAATGTTTTGCCGCCTATTACCAGTTTGTTGAAGATAAATAGGATTGAAGATCTCTGACCATTTTCGTCTTTTTCTCTCAGTTCATGTCGTCCGATGATGCATTCATATCCTGTTTTGTCCAAGCCAACTTTGGCATTTGAGTCTCCTATAGGAATGTTCAAGTGGTTTGTTGGGCATTTCTCAACAATTGACTGCAGCCTCTCATAGAATCTATCATTACAATCCTCATTATTTTTGTTGGTAGGCGTGTAGCACTGACTGATGTTCATCGTGATTATCTCGTTCTTTGTTTTGAAGCGGGCTTTAATGATCCTGGGTCCATGAGGTTCTCATCCTACCCTATGCCTTTTGTGCTTGTTTGGACAACATCAGTACAACTCCTTTTATATATGGAGCATTTTGTTCTTCACGGCCACAGTATAACAGCGTCTTTTTCGAAACTAGTCTTAGTTTTCCGACCTGCATACAACCAGGTTATATCTTTTCCATTTTTGGCAGTCATTTGACAAATGGTTATTCTAGTTTTAAAACGATTCGTTTATTTTGGTTACTACTAGTTTAAACAAACTCTCTTAATGTCATTCAAGTTCTCAATGAAATTTGAATACACCATAAAATTTATTTTTTAATAGCAGTTTTTCGATACATATAATATGTAATTAATAGGTAAGACATTTTCTATTCTGATGACATTCACTTCAAATATCTAGTTTGTGCTGAACTTTTTAAGAATCTAAAAATAATCAATGATAGATTAGATAATTTAGATTGTTTTTGCTAAAATATTTTGTGAAAAATCAATTTTCTACTAATGAATAAGCGAATCATGCTGACTATCTGTCATCTAGTTGTTATTCTCACATATTAAATGAGAAAGTCATTGAAAATCACTCAATCAAGTTATCTGACTTGAAATTATTTGTTGTGCTCTAAAATACTACTAACTTTATTAACTAGTAAGTATAATGATTGTTGTATGATGTGAATAAATTCTTTAGAGAATCAATCTACAACTTAAATCGATATTATTCAAACTCACCTAGTAGTCTCACAGTTTGAAGACTGTATTACTATCGAGCTACTCAAGCTAAAAATCAATATTCTTTACAACCAATCAGTGAGAAGTGGTGCTTGTTACATTATTGGTTTCGATTGAATTCCTACTTGTCGCAGAAATCGAACGCTCAACCTCTGGACCACTGAGCCGATGACATTCAATAGCTAACTTCGATCAATCCACGGTCTTGTGCAACTTCACCCTCGTGTCATCAGTGAGCACTGCTTCACACTCGTTAGATGTTGGCTCAGTAAGTCCAAAAGTCAAGCGTTCGCGCGCATGACGGAAGGTCCTAGTTCCGAATCCTTCAGGTATCGCGAATCGTGGATGCGCATTGCCACTGGTGAATCTCATACAAGGATTTAACGGTCATGATCTAACATTGGTAGATTTATGATTTCAGAAAGATTTAAAAGCTCGCTTGACGACAGACATGCGGAGTCCTCTATTTTTTTCATCAAACGATCAGTCAGCATTCCTAATATGTGCAAAGTGAATGGAGCTTCTTATTATTATAAGATTTGATATGGGGTCATTATTTTTCTTTTTAAAAATATATCCTTTCTATCTAGCAGAAGATACTGATCAGCTGTTTTAGTCGTTCATATGAAACCTCATGTTAGTCATCTGATGAACACAATATATCATAGAATTATTCATAAGAAATGCTGAAAATATCAGATGTTGAATACGAATGATTGAACTACAAATTTTGAATACTAACTATTCTATTAGTGTTAGGAGAAATTGCTGAAAATATATATTTTGTATTAAATTAAATGAACACAGATATATTAAAGAGATAGAAATTTTATGTAAAAATATTCTGTACGGATCCAGTTAGTCAGCAACGAGTTAGAACTTCGTAACTTAACTTTCGTTAGTTCAAGTTGCCCGACCACATTAGCACAGAGATGCAATTGTCAATTCAAATCCCACAGTGGTAGAGATAGTCAGAGTATTAACGGTGATGAAGAAGACTAGGGTTGGAAGATATTACTCAAGGAGTATGATCCTATGAAATAAACTTAAAAAGAGAAAGATAAAGGTGATGAAGAGTTCAGGAGATTAGAATTTGAGAGGAGATCAAGAGTGGATGCACCTGTGCCATGTCATTCAGAGTCTCTAACTATCGGTTACTATCATCTCGTGAACCCTAACCAGGTAGTCTACATCTATCAACGTGACTCAGTCCACTTGTCAGTGACTTTATGGATTTGTGAGATGTTTTGATTAAGCCACCCATAGCTTTCTTTCAACCTACCTTTACACCAAAAAAAAAAACGATTGCTCTTCGAGGCAATCGATAGTTAGGCATTTGTAACAAATCTCACAGCCGCCTCAACTGATGAAGTTTCAATACTTCATCATATGATCTGCCATCCTTACCTAATACCCTTGTACTAGTAACAGCATTACTTACTCACTTGTCCCAGGATATACATACGAGCAATGCTTCGAAGACACCTATGATCGGCAGCCAGTAACCTACGAATATCTTCTACTCTAACTGGCCATTTTTTGCATCCATATAGTGAGACGTAGCGAACTGATGTGCGGAATCCTCTAATAATGACGAATTAATTCACTTCAACTGACGACTAATTTGTATTTATAATTGTTTGGCTTTCATAAAAAGATTGGATTGTGAAAAGTTTCTTAAAATTTCTAAATTCGTTTAATTAAGTTTTTTAGTATCTTTCCAAGCTGGTTTACCATTCACAGATGTGTTAAGGATAAACTTCCACTCTGAAATACGCCACATCGAAGTGCATTTAAAAACTTACTTGCTCCTGTGGCGTATGTCAGGTTGTCCGGTTTCATTGAAATCATCAGTCAGTCAGTGTCAGACCATAATTAGAAAAGTCTGGAAGCTTTGAACAGCCATTTCGTCCTCCCAGTATGGGATTCATCAGCACAGTGCATCAACGACCTCCTCTGCATTTGGGAATCAAACCTAAGACCTTCAGTCTTGCACATGGCATTAATCTATGAAGTCACTGACAAGTAGACTGAGTCATGTTGGTAAATGTAGGCTACCTGGTTGGTGTCCGCGAGACGAAAGTTACCGATGGTTAGAGACCTTGAATGACATGGTTCAAAATCGTTTGCGATGGCGCATGTGCATCCCCTCTTTATACTCTCTCAAATCCTAATCTTCTGCATTGCTAATCATCTCTATCCTTCTCTTTTTAAAGTTACCTCATTTGAATTATACTTCTCGAAACATATCTTGGAACCCTAATCTTCTCCATGACAGCTGATACTTCTACTATCGCTGCCGCTACGGAATTTGAATTGACTGTTACATCTCTGTGTTGATTTGGTATGGCAACCTAAACTTATGTATTGATGTACAAAGTTCTACGTTGTAACTAATTGACGACTGTTTATCAATAGCCAGTTGATCGATCCCTTGTGTGTATTTTACTATCTTTGTGTAGGTACTACATTGGATGGTGCACGAATCGAAGTGACTTGGGCTAAACCCGCTGATAAAAATGATCATTCGAAAATCGGTCATAATTCTCAATCAATTTTAGCAATTAGTCAAAACCACAGTAATCACAATAATAATAATAATAACAATAATAATAATAATATTAGTAGTATTCATTGTAACGGTTTCCATTTACCCGGATTCATCAATTATCCCAATAATAGTAGCTCGTGTCTATCATTGGCGGCTACTCAACAACCAAGAGCATTGTCATTGATCTCATCGTCATCACCGGCAGCAGCAGCATCTTCGTCATTCATCAGTCCATTGAATACATTGACCATGGCGTCGACCTCATCATCATCATCACCACCATCCGATCTATTCATTCCTAATCTCTTCTCAAACTATGCAGCACCATTACAACAATTGCATCAGTCAAATTTGTATCCCTTCTCTTCATCCTTGCTCAATCAATCGATTTTTTCGTCAAACTCATTTCATTCACCCCATCATACTCCTCCTGCTCCTGTTCATGCAGCTCTTAGTAGTTTTCTCACACAACCAACAATGACAACAACAGTAACAACACCAACACCAACACCAACAACAACAACCAATCTACGTGATCATCATCACCATCATCAGGGTCGTCAACATTATAATACATTGTTGACCAAGCATATTGTTGATCGTCATCACAATTCACTTACATCCAACTTTTCCTCTGTCTTCTTCTCATCACCCTCACTGCCATCGTCATCGTCCTCCTCATTATTGATACCACCATCTTCATCTTCTATTCTGTCATTGATTAATCCAATGCCTACATCATTTACTGCCGCAGCTGCTGCTATCAAACAATCGAACAAGGATACCGCAGCGGCCGCCGCAACCCCCACCGCCATCCAGAATGATAATCATCATCATCATAATCAGAATACAGATAAAAATATTTTAATGCATAATCGAACCACTACTAACAAAACCTCATCAGTATTGAATCGAATTCGTTTAAATGAATTATGCAAATCACTTTCATCATCAGTGAACATTGAAAAGAATAATAATAATAAAATGCAGAAATGTTCAAACTTCGTACCATTGTTCAGCAATAATAATAATAATAACAAAAATAATAATTCAGGTTTTAATAAACAATCGCAACCTCCCTCATTATTACTGAATCCGTCCATATTGAATAAAAATGATGCATTGATGAGTTCTCCGGAAAAAAATAAGTAAGTTATTATTTTATTACTTACTGTTCAGTATTTCTCGTTAAACAATTACTCTGTTAAGAATACAACAACAGTCAGAGAAACAATACGAGCATGTTTGGGATGCGATTCTCTAGCCCGAAATTCATTATGTTGTTTGTATCGGCAATTGAATAAGTGATGGGGTATGAAGTAATTGAGTGTATTGACCGATTTACTTATCTCGCGAGTCTCATCAGTGCTGATGGTCTTATGACGGACAAAATCTTGGCACGGCTACAGAAGGTTTGATTAGCTTTTGACATCTTGCGTCACTCATGGCATAGGCGAGGTATCCGTTTGCGCATCAGTTCGCTCTGTTCGACTTTAGGGCTGCGAAAAATAGCCAGTCAGAATAGATATTCTTAGGTTGCTGATTCTCGATCATAGGTGTCTTCGAAGCATTGCTCGAGTATCGCAGGACAGCCGAGAACATAATGCTGCTTTTAAGAAACGTTGCTTAGGTAAGAGTGGCAGATAAATGGATGAAGTAATGAAACTTCATCAGCTGAGTTGGTTTGAACATATGTTGCGTATACCTAACTTGAACTGATGTAGGTATGTACTAAGTTCTACGTTGTAGCTAACTGACATAAAAACTGATGTCATTAAAGTTACATAATCTTTTTAGGGTTGAAGTTGATCACTGAAAGATTAGTGGATTATTTGAAAGAGAACTGTGTTTAGTAAGAAACTGTAATCTTTCTAAGTAGGCAGTGTCTTTCTCTCATCAGCTAGTATCGTACAGAACAATAATGGTGGTGTTTGAAATCCGCACTATTTTCACTTACACTTATTAAAAAACAGGATCCGAAGAATCTTTGTGAGATGACTTGATATTATTAGGTTAGGCTGTTTGTGCAGTTGTGAAATCAAACTATTATTGTGTTCATACAAAAAGATGAGGTGCAATTCAGTACTGAAGATTCTTGCCCAGACAGTATTCACTTACAATGTGAAATATCGACCAATTATTTTAAGGAGATTTTTTACAAACTGTAGATCACAAAATCCTTTTTTCTTACTTTCGCCACCCCTACTTGAGCATAGGCTGCCGACTAGCATCCTCCAACCCGACTCTGTCCTCTGCCTTGCTTTTTAGTTCCGCCTAATTGTTGTTAATTCTTTTCATGTCTGCCTATCTCCATTTGTCGGCTCCTGGAGCCTCTATAAAGCTACTGTCAGTCCCAAGCCTGGACGGATAAAGGGGGCAGGTGATTATGCATGGGTTTGGAAACCTAAACCTGTAGAAAACAGTAACTTGTTAAAAAAATACCATTAACCAGATCACAAAATCTATATTCTCTTGTTGTTTCGTTTTTGTCTACATTTTTCTCATGTTAGTTCTTTTCCGGCGGATCATAGTAATTTGCCAAAACATTTGTTAATTTCCAATCAAAAGAACTGGAATGAGAAATTAGTTTTCAATGTGGACAATGTTAAACCAGTGAATTCTTCGTGTCATTTCATGAATGACGGTCAACAGACAACTAGTACTACCACTACTACTACTACTGCTACTACCACTACCACTAATAAAGTAAGTTTTTTTCCTTTTCAATATTTAAACTTTGAAAGATTGTTTTCAAATTCTACTAGAAATTTTTTAAAGAAAAACTTACTAACTAATTAACTAATACTTGCTTACTTGCTTACCCACTCACTCATTCACTTACTTACTGACTGACTGACTGACTGACTGACTGATTTACTTACTTACTTACTTACTTACATACTTACTTAATTACTTACTTACGCATGTTACCCTTAATGAACAGCATAAGCCACCCAGAAGAAGTTATTTTTCTGCTTAGCGTTTTTGTTTTAGTGAGTTGGATTTCTACGGAATAGGGTCGTTAACGCTCCTCCTTTTATCCGGGTTTGGAACAACCGGCATTAACCCTAGAAAGGCTTCAGGTGGAGTTTAATGAATAACTTAATCTGTGCAAGAAGAAGAAGCTTTATTATAAGCCAATAATTCATTCAAGAACAGTTCAACTCTGTTGTAAGAATACCTGGGAAACGGTAAACACTGTTAATTCTCATGACCAAAACCAGAATACATTCATTTAAGTCAGGACTAATTTTACAACATCGTAAAAAATGGTTTACCGCAAAACAAAAATGCAAAACAAAGTTCACATAGAATAACTCTAAAACCAAATAACACTAATTATCACTACATATTGAACGAAAGTTTTATACCAAACGAAACTTACTCTTTTTATTGATAGAAAGAAATATACTGATTTCACAGTTATTCACAATTATTTAAATTAACCCTCTATTGTCAAGGGTAAAAATACATGAACAGTTCGTCTCAATCCCATGGTGCAACCACCACACGGGGTTACCTGACACCCTGATGGATCAGCAGTTACACTAGATAACATAATAAATTTCATAGTGTCACAATGAGAATATAACTAATTTCAAAAAATGTTGTTACAGTGAGATTAGAGGAAAAGTGAAATTTTCCATTAAGAACCTAGAAGCACTGGACAGCCGTTTTGTTCTTGTGTGGACTCATCAGCGGTAGTGCGCATCCACAACTCCTGTTACTGGAAGGAGGACATTAACGCCGTTAGATGACGCCAGCTCAGTGATCCAGAAGTTAAGATGTTCAGGTGCAAGACCGAATGTCCTGGGTCGGAATCCTGTCAGTAGCAGGAGTAGTGAATGCGCACTACTATTAATTAGTTATATTTTATGGTAGAGAATTCACAAAAATTAAATTCCTTTCTTATGTCAATTTATTTTGTCAATATTTAGCAATTAGTGTATACAAATAGTTTTCTCTTAAACCATCAGTTGGCATTAATTATCTTTACATATTCTGTAATAAAAATTCCATTCGAATTCAATCAAATTTTACGGTAGAAAAAATCAACCGGCAGAGCACCACCATGAGAGTTAGCTTTTTATTTGGAGATTTTTTTGCAGTAACTTTCTGTCAATTTATTTTTTCACCGAATCAACTGAATTCAACAAACAGAACTATTTGTTTACGTGAATATTTTTACACTATTGAAAATGTAGGGCAGTGTAGAACGTTCTTTAGGAATGTTTACAACAGCAAATAGCTAGCTACCTTTGACAATAACTGTTTTTCTGTGAAAAAATTTGATATTTCAATTATATATATTAATCATAATCATTGTTGTAAAAATAAAAATGTTATTTATTTTATTTTTATTCAAATGGTCAAAAAAGTTATTGATAGATATTTGTATGAAAAATGGACTTGGTCTGCCGAAATTTACTGTTTTAACACAAAGTTGTATTGATCAATTGCATGGGAATAAAATGAATTTATACATTGGACAAGTAAGTTTTAATTGACACACGGTGTAATAATGTATGATATTAATTATGTTACATTCAGTATGTGTGATGATATTGAGAAAATTTGAATAAAGATTAAAATGAAATTGAAGTTATATGTGGCTATCATTGACTGCCTTCAGAGTTAGCTTCTTATATGTCTAGTGGTTGAACGAAGAACACCAGAGAACAGTTAGGTGAGTAGAGCACTTTAAGGAGCTTTTAAATCTACCGGCCTCAATGAACCGGTCCAACATCAAAGCAGCATGCACGGACCTCTCAATCAATGATGGCCCACAAGCAGCTGAAGAGATCGGTATGGCCATCAGGCAAGTCCACAGTGGTATGGCGTCAGGACCAGAAAACATTCCAGCACAGGCACTCACAATAGATATAACAACAACTGATTAGATACTTTGCACTCTCAAAACTCAAGACAGCTATCAACTAACAGCATAATCACAATTTTCAATACAAATATCAAACAGTTCTATTGTATGGAGTGGAAACTTGAAGAATCGCGAAATCCATCAAATAAAATTTACGAATGTTTCTAAACAGTTGTCTACACAAAATACTTTGGATCCGTAATCCAGACACTATGAGCAATAACTGACTGCGGGAGACAACAAACCAGATTCCAGATGAGCACTGAAGGTGGATATGACACACATTGCGGAAATTACTCATCCGTGTCACAAGACAAGCCCTCACTTGGAACCCTCACGTTCAAAGGAGAAAAAGAAGCCCAAAAAGCACATAGTGTTGACAACTGAAGATAGACATTAAAGGAATCTACAACAGTTGGGTAGAACTGGAAAAGGTGTAGGACAGAGTAAGTTAAAGAATGCTGATCGGCGGCCAATGCTCCATTGGGGGTAACAGACATGGAAGTACTGAATGGCCGTCGAGTCCTTGTATGTGGCTTATCAGCAGTGCGTATTCAAGACTCCTGCTACTCTCAGGATTCGAACCCAGGACTTACGATCATGTAGTCAGTCAAGTAACTAACTGTCAACATGACAGTGTGAATTGTTAGCTCAGATCAATCTAGAGGATTTTGTGCAACCTCACCCATTAAACTGAGGTGGGTCACTGCCTATCTAAAACACCTGAAAAGGGTTCAACTCTCCACTAGTCATCAACTTAAATTGTTACAGACATTTAAACACAATTTCTAAATAATTTTGTTTTCCGTATCTTTTGTTTGTACAGGTTTTTCTGCCTGTTATCAATCGTCAAATTACTTCCAAGTATCCATCACCAACAGAAGAAAAATCATTGGAGTCAGTTAGTGAATTGGCAATTATTTGGCTAGCGAATTATTATTTCATGAATAATAATAGTAATAGTAATAGTAATAATAATAATAATGACAATAAAATTATCAATAATAATAACCAGAATGATCAAAACTATAATTTATCTAATTATAACAAATCAATCAATACTATCTCACCTCTTCCTTCATCTTCCTTTCATCATCCTTATCAACAAAATCCACTTTTCCATTCATCCAATCCACATAGTTTGATAATGTCCAGTATCAATAATAATAATAGTAATAATAATAATAATAATAATATTTATTCAACGATATCCTTTAATTACACTAATCCACCAAGTCTAATGAGTCCACCTTCTCCCTATTGTCATTCCTACTCATCTTACAGTAGTTCATCCCAAGTACCACCATTCAATAATCAATTTACCACAACAGATAATACTATTACTACTACAGTAGACGAATATCATCATCATGGTAAACATTCACTTATGAATATGATGTGTGATTCAAATCAAACTCACTTGATGAAATCGTCGTCAACAATGTCGACTGATTTATTAAACATGGATTCCAATTATCACAAAAATACTACTCATCGCGATAATATGAATAACAATGATGATTTGATGATTTATAACTCAGGTGATTGTTGTGTTTTTTTTATGATTTCCAATTCCTTTGGTTCAATATTTAGACTAATTAAGGACGTGTTAGCTGGAAATGTGTAATTGCATGTGATGTGGTTGTGGAGACTGTTAAGTTACACATTTTGAAATGATGAGTCGATCAATGTTAGACTACTATTAGAAATCTGGAAGCACTGGACTACCGTTTCACCCTGGTATGGGGGGGCTCAGTGCGCATCCATGACTAATGGAGCCCTCAGGATTTGAACACAGGACCTTTGGTCTTGCGCGCGAACGCCTAGCACTTGGACCATTGAGCCGGTGTCTAACGGGTCTAATGTCTAGCTTCGATCAATTCACGGTCTTTCGCAACCCCATACATTGTCTTCGGTATTTACCGTCTACACCCGAACAGGGCAGTCCAGTGCTTCCAGGTCTCTATTAGTGGTCTGACATTGATCGATTCATGATTTAAATGTGTAATTATTGTAATTATTACTATAAACGACTGTGACTGCATTGCTAGTTCTTTCACTCTCACAATGGAAGGAAGGGGTTAGAAAATGTTATACTTCACCTTACCACACGAAATTCCCTAGCAGAGCATACACACTGACGATATCGCATAAAAAAGCCATGCGCAACCTATTCCAAGCAGTTGTCTGCTTGGTTTGCTTGGATCTTCGGTTTGCACTCCAAAGTCCCTTATGAAATAAATACGCTTTCATGGTGTGGACAACCCAAAATTCAGATCCACTTATTCCTAACAGCACACGCGATCCAACTTGACAGAGGTTATATTCGACCTCGACAGTTAGAGACTTAATCAGACAGATACAACACAGAACTTCGTACGTAAGTACGTCAGTTCAGGTTGACATGCCCCATGAGCACAGAGTCGCAACTGTCAGTTCAAATCCAACAGTGATAGCTATAATAGAAGTATTAGCAGTAATGGAGAAGATCAGGAAGCGAAGATATGATTTGAGAAGCATAACTCAGTATGATAAATTTAGAAGGAGAAAGATAGAGATTATGAGGAATGCAGAAGGTTAGAATTTCATAGAACACAAAGAGTGGATGCACCTGCGCCATTGCAAACGATTTTCATCCATGTCATCCAAGTTCTCTAACCAACGGTTACTATCATCTCGCAGACTCCAACCAGGTAGCCTACAACTGCCAACATGGCTCTGTCCACTTGTCAGTGGCTTCACGGATTTGTGCCATGCTTTTGGTTTGGCCGCCCTTATCTTTCTTCCAACCTACTCCTACATCACAAAACAAAGCTCGTCGAGGTAGTCGGTGGTTAGGCATACGTAACACATGTCTAACCATCTCAACTGATGAAGTTTAACTACTTCACTTATTGATTTGCTGTCCAAACCTAGAACTCGTTTCCTAACGACATCATTGCTTATACGGTTGTCCCACGATACACGAGCAATGCTTCGGAGATATCGATGATCGAAGACTAGTAACCTACGAACATCTTCTACTCTTAACGGCCAAGTCTCGCATCCGTACAGTAGGACGGAGCGAACTACTGCACAGTACACTCGTCCTTTAGTTAGCAAACGGATATTTCACCTACGCCATAAGTGACGCAGGTTGGAACAATCAGGGATCGAGACCAGTCGGATGGGATTACGTCCAGTTCCCAGATTCTACCAAAGATCTCAGTCAACCTAGCTACTAATACTAGACCACCATCCTTAAATATCTCAGGGGTCAGTCTATCAGGACCTGCAGCTCGCCCTCGCTTCACATTTCCTAATGCTTTCTCAACTTTGTAAAGACTAGGGGTACTTACGTCGGTTTGCCATTCAGGCTGACTGGAGTAACCGAAGAGTGGCTCGAGACCAGTTGAACTGATCCCTAAAGTGTTCTGCCCATCGATCCAGTCTCCTGGATTGAGATTGGATAATAGTCCCATCATTTTCCGAGATAAAGACTTAATCAGTCAAAGCAATAGATGAATGATGTTCACTGTAATTGACTGATACACACTTTGTAAGATAAAATGAATCAAAATGATTCCTTTGTTTTAATAATCTTTATTTTTTCTTTTTTTTAAAAAATTTTTCAGCACTTTTCTATGATGATGACGATGATGATCACAATAATACTACTAATAATGATAATCATCATATTCATATAAATTCTCCTAATTCAAACAATTTCTTTCTCAACAACAACATCAATAACAGATTTAATTATATCAATAGTGAATTGTCGTCAAATGTCAATTTTTTTAATGAGAACAATTTAAAATTCAATCCGTTTGTTATTAATTCTGATATTGTAAACACTTCACCGTTTGTTGTTTCGTTAAATTCATCTACTACTACTACTACTACTGTTACCACTACTACTACTGTTACCACTACCACTACTACGACTACTACTACGACTACTACCACTTCGACAACGACTATTAGTCATATTAATAATACTAATAATCATGTGAAATTATCTGTTGTACCAATAAATCATGGTGTTATAATAAATCAGGACAATACTACTATAACTACTACTAATACAACTACAACTACAAATACAAATATTTAGAAAAAAAAGAATATGAAAAAACTTTTCCAAAAAAATTAAATTGTCTCTAATTAATTAATTAATTAATAAAATGAAAAATTAATTTTATTTTAAAAAGAAAAAAGTTAAAAACTGATTATTATTATTATGATTATTATGATTGTTATTATTATTATTATTAATGTTGTTTAAATATTCTTTTCCAAAAATTGAACATTGTTGAACATTGAACATTATTGAACACTGTTGAACATTGAACACACTGCGCTAAAACCACCATGATTATTATTATTAGTATTATTTGATCTTGTTAATAAAATCACAGACAGACAGAGAAAAACACATCATCAATCAGAGATATCAATTAATTATTGAAAAAAATTTATTATTGGTTAAATTCTTCTTCCTCATGTCCTTAATTAGTGAATTAATTAATTAATTAATTTGTTTTAATAATAATAATAAATTGTTAACATTGATTTTTTACCCGCCATAATGTGAAATGCAATGAGTACAATTTTAAAAAAAAAATTCTGATTTTTTTGCTATGTGTGTGTTTATATGATCAATTTTTTGGTTTTATCTAAAAAAAAATCATAATTCAATGTTGTTGATTATTATTATTATTATTGAATGAATAATTTCTATAAATAAATAAATCATTTAATTAATTAATTATAATTAATTAATTAAATAATTAGTAATATAATTATATGTTGTTCTTTATTTTCCATTGTTCCCTTTCACAGTATTTATGTATTTTTTTGAAAAAAAAATGGAGACTAAGACTGTAGAAATGAGATTTTACACATAAAATAGTACGGAGTAAAGATATGTATGTAAATAAGTAAGTAAGTAAGTAAGTAATATGATACAGTTTGCCTTACTCTCTCTCACATCACCATATGTACTTGCAATAGTGAGTAAGTAGTATCTGATATTTCTAACCGTAGGTAGTAGTAGTGTAGTGAAGGAGAACACAGGTGAGGGTAACCGGATTGTATTTAAAGAAAATTACAGAGTTACTCAGTAAAATAGGAAAACCATATCGTAAACGGTTAATTTGCAAATGTTCAACCCATCATCAATCCATTGTCTGACATTTCACTCACTATTCATGCGTTTCATACAAATTCCATTGTGTTCCCACTCTTCCTTTCTCTTGATCTTCCCCCATCTTCTGCTGCCAGACATTACGTTTACACTTACGTCACATACTACTTATAAGTAGTGCGCACCACAGGTCTATGCTTTTTTTCCATTAAATCGCTTTGTATGTATACGAGAATTAGGGCGCACTACTTATAATTGTAGTAGTTGGACGCCATATCAGTCTGCAATTATTAGCCTAGACCAGTCAATACGAAATGACTTACTTAAGCCTGTGATCCGTACGCCGCCAAATAGCGAGTTATTTTTAAAATTAACGTTTTTGTTCTCGTGAGTTTGATTTCTACCGGGATGAGGTCACTAATACCCAATGTCCATCACTCTCTTTAATCCGGCATTGGAACAACCGGCAGTAACATTAGAAGGGCTCCAAGCGAAGATATTTCATGACATTACGTTTGTAAAATGAATCGTTGTTTTTAAGGAGTAACCAACGTATATATTACTATAGGCATGGACAATTTTTAATAGAGGCGTGAAAAACAGTAACAGAAAAATGTATTTAAAACAATTAGTCCCTTTTATAAATTTTGATAGAACAGTGAGAAGACGTAATTGATTCGAAAAATGTGATGTATTTGCGCTATACATTTCGAACAATCGGACTTTGCAATCAAGGGTCATGGAACATGTACCTAAGTGGCTTCAAATTCAGTTAACGTTGTAGTGAACGAGAACACAGGTGGGGCAACCGAATTGTATTTAACGGAAATTACAGAGTTACTCAGTAAAATAGGAAAACCATATCGTAAATCGTTCATTTGCAAAATGTCAGTTCATCATATCGAACTGGACTGTTCCTGTTGCAATACATCAATCCATTGTCTGACATTTCACTGTTCATGCGTTTCATACAAATTCCATTGTGTTCCCACTCTTCCTTTCTTGATCTTCCCCCATCTTCGGCTGCCAGACATCACGTTTACACTCACGTCATATACTACTTACAAGTAGCTCGCACCACAACGTCAGATGAGCCGATTAGCGTCGGAAATAGAAAACCATGTTCATCGATCGCAAAACACATAATTGAGACAGGGCATGGGCTTAACATGAAGACATCCTTCAAAAGTGAATAGAAATGTTGAAGGACGAATTTCGAGGTTTATGGAGACCTTGGCTATTAGAAAATTAAAACTCCCCTTACGTGTGCAGAAACAATTTGTCATAACCTTGAATTTACCTTGGTAATCTTTAAGCCTAGGGTGTAATGTGACAATTTTCCTACCCCTTCTTATTCTTTTCATATTACGTTAATTTTCTCTCTCCTTTATTTACAATTATCACCCTATGTCTCTATTTGAACTTTTATTTAATTGGCCTTTTATTCATCTTCATATAAAATGCCTTGACTAGTAAATATAATTGACCAGATTGTTCGAAATGTATAGCGCAAATCAGATAAATTACGTCTTCACACTGTTCTATCAGAAAAATGTATGTCACTTAAATATGAATGTTTGGAAACCATTCTTCACTTTGTGATAGACAAAATCAATTGCTCAAGGTACCTTGCTTTTGATAGCCAATGATATCGGTAGTTATGTATTCGAATAATATATTTTAACAAATTTAGCTAGCCCGTTAGCAATAGATATTCTCTCTTTTAATAGTACGAACCTGTGTGAGTAAACAGTTCACTCAGCTGAGAATTGTTGGGGACGTTAGATCCCCAGAACACACTTGGAAAAGGTCCTAATTTTGTATTTATATTCTGAAATTTTGAATTTTTATGCTTTCGCGCCGAAAACGCTAATTTGACCTTCAGCTTCCATTTCCTATTCGGGAAATCCTTGATTGTCATTGGTTGATGGATTATTTTAGTACATCGTTTTGTGGCTCATCAAGGACGTTTCATCATTGTGTAAATAAGCTTGAGTTGTATGCTTGTGGACCTCGTACATTCTGGATGTCTGTGGAATACATTTCTGTACTTCCTACTTAGAATTCTTCCTTTAGTTAGTTAGGTCTTGGCTGATTCGAATGGCCTATGGTGTCTCTGAATAACTGATGTTCGTTCCGTTTACCGAGAAAGGGAAACTCGTAGTAGTTCGTGCGTATTAGAATAATATTAACGCTCTAAACATTGTATGAAACCTGTTCATTGCTCGTATGTTGTTGTAGCGCTATTCTAAAATAGGGAGCACAATATAGTTGTCTGTTCTGTCTCATTCATGACTATAATAAGTCTCTTCAGTAAAAGGATCGCTTTTATGCGTAAATTTAAGCGATCGAATCTGTTTGCAAAAATATTTCCACGTTCAACTTCAAACCATGAAGACATTTTAGATTCACTACTGGGAAACTAATTGATCCCTAGTTTCATATCAAGTTCTGTTGGTTCTTTCTTGTAATTTGATTCTTAAAAAACGGAACGGAGAGCCACGTTGGTAGGTGTAGACTATGTGTTTGGGTTCCGTGAGACAATCGTGGTTGTTAGTTGGAGACTGTGAATGAAATGGCTCAAAATCGTTTATGATAACGAAGGTACATCCGTTCTTTGTGTTCTCACAAATTTGAATATTCTGAATTCTTCATCACCTTTATCTTTCCTTTTTTTAAATTTATTTCACTGGATTATACGCCTTGAAAAATATCTTTGAACCCCTAATCTTCTCATTTACCACTAACTCTGATACAAACAACCTCTACCACTAGAGAGAATTATTTCTGCTACTGTGAAGTATAACAACTTGAACTGACGTACGAACGTGCCCACTTACGAGAAGTTCTACGTTGTAGCTGACTGAGAATGACTGATAATCCTTTATCAAAATAGTTGTATAGATCAAGTAAGCAGTCTAGTTAGCTTAAAAACATATCACAATAAAGTATTTCAACTTTTTAATTAGTCAACATATAATCTATCTGCAAGATCACTGAAGTTGAGTTATCTCTAGAATTTACTGAACACATTCACATTTTACCTCATAAATTAACCGGGATCATTCCCATGAAACTATACAAAGCATTATTACTGCAGTGAATTTAAGTAATACGAAATGACCTTGAAACCATAAATGAATCATTCATTGTTAGACGACCCTTAAAAACCTGGAAGCACCAGATGGCCGTTTCGTCCGGGTATGGGACTTATCAGTGGCAATGCGCATCCACGACTCCTACAACTTTCATGATTGGAAATCAGGACCTTCGGTCTTGCACACCAACATCTAACCTCTGGAGCAGTCCAGAGGAACAGTCCAAAGACAGGCGATCTATGAATCACTAACTAAATCATGGTGCTTTTGAAGTACCGTTTTTCTCTCGAGATAAGTCTTACTATTTGTATGATACATGAAACAGTAGATATTTCTGTAATCTTTTATTTATTCTATTCGTATAAATTACTGTTACAAACCATTTTTTTTAAATTAAAACGGCGCTTAACTTTTGCCAAAACAGTTTCATTGTACACAAACAAACACATACATACATACATACATACATAACACAAACAGATGAGAAAGAAACATGAAAATTGAAATCCTTCACCAGAAAAACAAAAACAACGGAAAAACTTGTCAACTCATACACTCTAAAAAAACACAATTCATTCACAGATGAAACCAATAAAATTGAGATGATAAAAGAACAAAGTTAAGTGGTACACATCCTGCCTGACTGAATGTGATCAAGTTCATCACAAACTATCTCATCAGGAGAAATTTTTTTTTTCAAATGAAGTTTAAAACTTTTACATAATCTATAGAAGAAGCACAATAGACAATGGAATTATAAAACAATATATATCAGTGAGATTTATTAAAATGAATTATTTTAAAGAGAAGAGTTGACAGTAGTTAGTTAGTTAGTTAGTTAGTTGGTTGGTTTAGTCATCGGATGATTCTCAATTAAATTCGGAATGTTTGTCACACAATTGATTCTTCATGTTTCATTCAATGTCATTGTATCATTCATTCTATGCCGTTGCTTTGATTCTCATCGTTTAATTTTAACCATTTCAATTCGGTACTTTTCACACGATTATGTTTATTCTCAGCTTTTTGTTTTAAACTATAGTATAAGAATTGTAGAGCAGCAAATATGGTAAGAATCATTTTACCATTCAAATCTCTAAGATGTTCCGGTAGGGCGAATACTCTAGCTCCAGCTTTACGACAACATGAAATAGCATATTGACATAATGACAGATCGTCATTGTTTCCTTTTAACCAAATTTCTTCATTTGTCGAATTCGGTTTAATTTGTTCAAGTAATTGAATGATTGGGATACCATTACTGAGAGATGGATCGCGGAAACTAGTGATTGTTTTAGCCTTGGCTGCAGTCAACTGTTTATTGACCCATGCCAGAATATCTTTATCTTCACGTGGTACTTCTGCACCATTAGCAACCTAGAAAAAATGAATGAATAGAGATTTTCAAGGGTACATTAGTCAAAAAAAAGATATTGATTATTTTTCATGAAAATGTTTAAGGTATGATTAGTTTCACATGACATCATAATATGAAGTATACCCATAGCTATCTTATCTCCTTCATAAGCTGTGTTCAGTTAGCATATTATTCTTCTCTGATTAGTTTGGAATGGAGTCGTGTAAAAAAAGGTAGAACAAGGCTTAATGTACGTTACTCTATTGAAATCATGAATCACAATCATTGTTAGACTAGCGTTAGAAACTTGAAAGCATTGAACGATAGTTTCGTCCTGGTATGGAACTCACCAGCAGTGTGTATCTACGACTTCTGCTACTCATAAGACCACTGAGCTGATCGACATTCAGCGGTGTGAATGTCTAACGCAAATCCATCTAGGGGATTTTGCGCAACCGCAACCACTTGTCTTCGGTGGAATACTGCCTACCTACACCCTGGTAGGTCACTAGCTGCCCACATGCTAGCAAACTAACCGCCGAAACCGTACAAAGTACGATCCTGGCGTTTCAGAGCGTACACAACATCCATAGCTGTCACTGTCTTCCTCTTAGCATGTTCTGTGTAGGTGACTGCATCACGGATCACGTTCTGCAGAAACACCTTCAGAACACCACGAGTCTCCTCGTAGATCAGTTCGGAAATTCACTTCACACCACCACGGCGAGCAAGGCGGCGGATGGCAGGCTTCGTGATGCCCTTGATGTTGTCACGTAAGACCTTGTGATGTCTCTTCGCTCCACCTTGGCCTAAACCTTTACCATCTTTTCCTCGACCTGACACATGTTCTAGATTGATGCACAATTAGACTTGCCAACCAACACTCGATAATTTTATTCACATCCTGTTTACATAATTTTCAAGGCATTTATCAATATCTTTAGTACGATAAAAGAGACATGAATAAATTTGCTCATTCAATCTGTTTAATTTTATTGCTTTTTTTCTATAATGAGAATGATCAAATGATTTTTATCAAAATTTCTTGTTTGCCAATTCTGTTTAAACATAAAATTACATGATCAAACTTGTAAATCAGATACAGTTTGATTTGTATTACAAATCGTGCCAATATTCTTGCACAAACAGTTGATGTTTTAATGATAACACATTTTTGGCATAAACAGTGTAGAAGTTTCGGAATTATTAATAAGTCGATAATAATCTCTAATGAAAAGGAATTGCTGTTTTGTATTACGGGGTTGTGAAGATTGTTAAGTTACACATTTTTGAAACCATGAATCGATCAATGTTAAACCACCATTAGAAACCTGGAAGCACTGAAACACGGCTGTTTCGTCTTTGATTGGAACTCATCAGCAGTGCGCATCCACGACTACTGCACCCCGCAGGATTCGAACCCAGGACATCCGGCATTGTGCGCGAACGCCTAACCATCGGACCACTTAGCCAGTATCTAACGGTGTTAATGTCTAAATTGATCAATTCACGGAGTTGCGCAATCTCATACACAGTCTTCGGTAGTTACTGTCTTCACCCAAACAGGTTGAACTTCACTGGTCACGTCTTCCCACTAGAACTCAGAGAAGATTCCTCACCAAGCTAGTCACTAGTGAGAACACTTAAACCAAGTTTTTATCTTTCATGATAATAATCATCAGAGTTCAACATTCATCTAGGATATGCACAATAACATTACTGACATTAAAGTGATTTACAGTGATACTATCATCAACATAGTCAATCTCTGAACATGATATTGAACAACGGAGAAATAAAAACCAATCATGTTTGATCTCAGTTATCCTCGGTGGTGTGTAGTAGTAGTAGTAGTATAGATTGTACGTGTCTACGAAAAGCACAAATCATGTAAATCATAGTACAGCAAGGTGAACAGTGATGAGGTTAGACGTTAGATAAGAGGTAAGAAAATGAAAAACGTTTTGCTGGAGTTATAAATTTGATGTTAGAGACAACATGTACTGCGTATGCTAAATCACGGCCAGGATAAAGGAGGATGGTTGGGCATTAGAGGTTTGTGACCTCATCCCGGTAGAAATTCAACTCGCTAAAAAAGTGAGAACCAGAAAAATAATTCGCCGTTCGGCGACCTATGCTCCATTAGGGGTAACAGGTGTAAGTAAGTCAGAACGTAATTGAGTGAGTAAGTAAGTAAGCAAGTAAGTAAGTGAGTAGGTATGTAACCACAGTTTACCGAAACAAAAGTATTAGCCTATTTAACGAGTTATTCAGTTGAATTACAACAATCTCAACTTCATTTTAATCAATTCAAAGATATGATGTGATAAAGTTTAAAAAAATATAAAACATTAAATTAATCATACATAACAAAAACCTTACTTCAACCATTAATTTAAATACATATGCATGCATTAGAGTGAAACAAACGCCTAAAATTAATTTTTGATCACGTCTTTGTATATCTTCACCACTGACATTGACAAAACGTATATTAATTGATCGTGCGGAATCAACCACAAGATTACAATTTCCAGTCTCTTGAAATAAACGTCGTTTTGTATCGAATTCTGTTACAGCCAATGACCAATCCACTGTGTTGGGTTGAATTTTATCAATTAATTGTAACAGAACTAATCCATTACTAAGATCAGTGTATAAATGTGTAATATACGGTTTAACACCAAGTGAATTAATCCAATTACGATAGGTTCGTTCTTCCAATGTTTCACCTTCTATGACTACATCACCATCTTTTGTATCCAATCCTGGATGCATATTGAATAAGGTAGCAAGAAAAGCTAAATTCAATCGATCACGATTATCATTGTTTCGATCACCAGCTAGAAAGATATCTTCCGGTGATGGAAGAAATGGTGTATTCAACAATTCTGCATTATTCAATACATTATATGCTCGTTCTTTACGACAAGTTGAATTTAAAATTTCTTTAGCTGACATTAACTTAAATCGTTTATCTGGTGGAGCTATCTGCTCGATTAAATGTGAATAAACAACGGAATCAGCTAAATCGGTATTCAAATTTGTAATACGTCTATCACAACCAGCTCGTAACAGATGATAATTCACCCAACGCATTAATAATTCTTCAGGTTTTAATCTAGCTAAATCTTCAGCTGTTTCACCATCATGCAACAATGCTATCAATTCTTTATGTTTATTCAATGTGATTGTATCAACTACACCACGACGTATTAATTGCCAAATTAATCCAAGTACAATATGTCGTTTGCCTTGCATAATATCTTCCGGTCCAGTATTCACTACACAACAACCAATTGATGCAGCAGAATTTACTGCCAATGTAAGATTTTCATGTACCTGAAATTATTCAAAATGAAATGAAATGAAATAGAATAAATAATGATGCAAAAAAAAAAATGCTTAGTATGTTCAGGAGGCAGTTCTCTCTGTTAAAAATATCGATCGCTTCACGATTCACATGCATCAACACTCTCCCTAACTAGTGAAGTATTTGAGCGTGTTGATCATTTCACTTATATTGGGAGTTTCTTATCAGTGCTGATGGTATGATGATGTTTGACGAAATCGTAGTACGGATACAGAAGGCTTGATTGGCTTTCGCTAACTTGCGTCACTCAAGGTGTAATAAGCTAGATATATGTTTGCTAAACAAAGGATGGGTTTATTTACTATGCGGCAGTTTGCTTTGTCGTACTTTATGGCTGCGAAACATTAACGGTACGAGTTGAGGATATTCGTAGGCTTTTAGCATTCGATCATTGGTGTCTTCGATGTACTGCTCGTATATTCTTTGCACAATTGGATAAGAAATGCAGTTGTTGAAAAACGAGTTCTTGGTAAGGATGAAAAATCAAGTGATGAAGTGCTTCATTTTCTTCAGTTAAGATGGTTGGGACACAAGTTACGTATGTCCAACCACCGACTGCCACAAAGAGCGATGTTTTGTGGTGTGGGGTGAGGTTGGAAGAAATCTAGAGGCAACCAGATCAAAACATGCCATGAATTCATGAAGTCACCGACAAGGTGTAGGCGTAGACTACTTGGTTGGGGTCCGCGAGATGATAGTAACCGGTGGTTAGAGACTGAATGGCATGGCTCAAAATCGTTTACAGTGATGCAGATGCCTCCGTTCTTTGCGTTCTATAAAACACTAAACTCAACTGTTTGTCACCTTTAACTTTCTCATTCTAAGTTTATTTAAATAGATTCTACTTCTTGAATGACATCCTCGAAACGTAATCTTTCTGATTTCTGCTCATACTTCTACTACCTCTACCGTAATCGGATTTGAAATGACAATAGCATCTCTGTGCAAATGTGGTCGGGCAATTTGAACTGATGTACGTGCATGCAAAGTTCAACGCTGTAGCTGACTGACTAATACTACAAGTTTTACTCCATGAGCAATGCATTCAAATCCAGATGATGGTAGCGTTGAGATTGTGAAGATTGAGAGCTAAGACTGTCACAACTAGTTGACGATAAATTCAAGCCAAAAATTTAAAAACATTGTCTAATCTTACTTGTTTGTTCAAGCTAGACACAAAAATTTAAACTGTAAATCACTTCATATTCTAATTTAAACAAGCTAACTATATCAGTTAGTAGTTTCAAAGTTGTTGAAATTTTGAAACATTCTTTAAATGATATTAATCATAATGGTGATTTAGTCAAATAGGAAAGTGATTACTACATACAACATTCTCTAGAATGATTAATAAATATTCTTTTAAATCAAACTCCTCCAGTCTTTCTATCTTATGTGTAACAGCAAATGCAGAAGAAGACGGACAGTGTAGAAGAAGTAGACGTCAACATATCTGCAAGGAGAAGAGCAAGATTCTCCCATACAAAAACACATCATTCACCAATCAAATCACCGGTGATGGATAAGCTTCGGAATATATGAGAAACGTTTACATGCATCGGGACAGTATCAGTGATAGACGAGATGAATCTGATGACGATGTAAACACGCGGATTTGGTTAGGCAAGGGCAGCATTTCTACAATTCAAGAACATCTGGAACTCAGAACAGCTATCAACAAATAAAACAGTTTTAACGGAAGGCTGGAGAACTACATCTATGCAAGATACTGTGGATCCGTTGGCAAGATACTACAACCTACTATGAGAGAAAACAAACCAGACTCCATCAGAAGAAGAAATCAGGAAGAAGCTTTGAAAGTGGATAGATTACACATTGAGGAAAGCACCCAAATGTGTCACAAGACAATTCCTCACTTAGAATCCTTATGGTCAAAAGAAAAGTGGAAGAAGACAGAACACTTTACCGAGAGAAATGGAGACAGACATGATAAGAATGAACTATAATTGGACAGAACTAAAAAGGACAGTTTAGTACAGAGTAGGTTGTAAAATAATGCTGGTCGGTGACCTATATGCTCCAATTATGCTGACTGATATGCAGCGGTATAGTTTTGATCAAAGCTACTTTATTGTATGTAAACAAGGTGATTAGTTTATGTCCGATTATGTCATCACTAAACAATCTCTTCACACACACACACACATACATACCTATATATATATATGTATACAAGCTACCATATAACTTGGATACTGTCAGTGATGCGATGATGTTGTCAAGACTAGTTTATTGACATTTTCACTGTTATGTTATTTATTTTATGTAGGAATTTTGTAGAATTCTGACCTCTTCAACTGATTCTACTCAGATTTGCACACGTGAACTACTACATAGATTTGTACACAAACTGTTAATATAACTTTGAATATATATATATATATATATATATATATATATATATATATATATATATATATATATATTAAATATCTCTAAAATCATAGAAATATTTACATAAACTATACTATTCTCTCAATTATAAATATACACACTATTATTTATTAGTATTGTTTACGACAAAGAGAAAAAAGGCGTCATCATGATTAGTACGTTTTATATCAGAGTAGTTGTTATTTATATATATATATATATACTATAGTTATTATGATTTAACGCTACGCATATAATGTTCACTTGTAGGACTGATTGTGTCTATCATTGATAATACTTATTACTATGATGATTGTGAGTTGCTTGTAAGTAGTTAGTTAGTTGAACACTTCAAAGTACGCTTTCTGTCATTTTTTTTTCTGGTTAGTCAAGAGAATACGACATTCTTGTGTGGTTATTGATTTCTGGTTGAGTGCAAACCTACGTGAACTGTGTGCGTACCTGTGTGTGTGTGTACACGTACTGCTGGTCTACGTGCTTTCTTTTCAGTTTGATCGATCAATATCATCTTAACTATTCAGCATACTTCCATTATCTCGTAACATTTTTTTTTAAAAAGTTGTACATTCTTCTGTCTTCTCACTATTATCAACTCATCAATTATTTGATAAAGTCGAGCAAATCACACACACAAATCGAGACACATTCATCAAACACACTGACCACAACATGCGCTTATACAAACTAACGAAAAATCAATAAACACGTAGCATGTTAATTTTCTCATGCATTCATCAATTTTGCAAAATGATTCGTTTTAAAATATGAAAATAGAAAATGCCTTTGATTGAATTCTAAAGAGAATTCTTACTGAATTTTTTAATACTTACAAACTTAGTAACTTACTAACTTGCTTGCTTATTTACGCCTGTTAGCCAGCTCTAATGGAGAACTTGGGTCGCTGACCAACACGAATCAGTTTTTTCTAGTTTAACGAGTTAGATTTTTACCAGATAAGCTTGCTAACTAACCCTCAATGTCTAACGCTCCTCTCTTATCCGGGATTCGGACCGGCAGTAATACATTTCTAATGTAATATAATAAATTGTAGTTGCTCGAAGTGTTTTGAATAGTTCTCTTCAGTGACTTCACATTCAGTTACATTGATATTTACTTAACTGAATAATAACTCCGCCTGGAGCCTTTCTAGGATTACTGACACTTCAAAGCTCAGATAACGGAAGATAGTTAGGAATGGGGTTAGCGACTTCATCTCAGTAGAAATCTAACTCACTAAAACACTAAAGATAACCAGAAAAATAATTCACTGGTCGGTCAAAGGGCTTATATTCTCCATTACGGTTAACAGGCATTAGTAAGTAAGTAATTAAGTTATTCAGTTGAGTATAATACGAAACAGAATGAGAATCTCAGCTTCAGTTAGATTGTGTGCTGCTAGTTGACCATTTGTTAGCAAAAAAGGTTATCTATCCGACTTTCAGTGAAACTGAAGTGCGTGCATCCACTGTTATTATAACTGGGGACGTAACTGTTAGATTATTTCTATTACCACTAAACACTGAACAATATTGATTGAAAACACAGCTCTATCGCTTGTTTTAGTTAGTTTAGCTTGGCTTTTATATTAGAAAGCTAAAAACAATTCAGTCATAGTCTATGATACTAAATTTAGCTGTGAAAATTAGACAAAATATCAACTGAAATTTATGTGTAGGCTAATATCAGTCATCACCGTAATTAATATTGTTATTATTATTATTATTATTTTTATTAGTAGTAGTAGTAGTAGAAGTAGTAGTAGTGTGGTGCGAGCTACTTATAAGTAGTATATGACGTGAGTGTCAACGTAATGTCTGGCAACAGAAGATGGGGGAAGATCAAGAAAGGAAGAGTTTGAACACAATGGAATTTGTATGAAACGCATGAATAGTGACAATGGATTGTGATGTTTTGCAACAGGAACAGTCCAGTTCGATATGATGGAATGATATTTTGCAAATGAACGATTTACGATATGGTTTTCCTATTTTACTGAGTAACTCTGTAATTTTCGTTAAATATAATCCGGTTGCCCCACCTGCGTTTTCAAACAAACACTTTGAGCTTATCCAGCATGATAAATATATCCGTGTTAGTGGGTCAAGGTGTTATTTAGATACATAGTTTAATCATTACTAAACGATAACACAAGTTTAACATTAATAGAAAGTCAGTAAAAGTCTAATCTGTTTGAACTACTAAACTTGACTTATAGCTAATAGAAACTTCTTCACTTAATCCGGAATGAGATTGTTTTCATCAATGGCACTAAGTTATCGCGGCGTTATATCGCTTACGGATTGCAAACTGAAAATCCTCATCATCTCAAGACTATCATTAGATACCTGAAGTCACTTGACGGCCGTTTCGTCGTAGCATATGGGACTCACCAGCACTGTGCATCTGCGACTTTTGCTACTCGCAGGATTCCAACCAAAGATCTTCAGTCTTGCGCTCGAATGTCTAACCTTTGGACCACTGGGCCTACATCCAATTCTGCCCAGGTTTCTTGTAATAGTCTAACAATGCTTGTGATTCATGATTTCACTAATCATATCTTTACAAAAACCTCACTAATAAATTAACAACTATTAGGTTAACCATATAATACCAATTATTTAGATTATCATACTAACCAAAATCACACAAATAACGCCATGTACTTTTTTTTAATGCGTAATTTTGAAGGTTTGTTTTTTAAATTAGGTCGTATGACTACTAAATATCGCATTCATGTATTCAATGATCTCTAAATTAACTGTCTGTAAAAATGGTTGACAAATTTCAACTGAACTACATACACATTAAACTAAACAAAAACCATATCCTGTAAACTGTTGGCATTTTTATGTATGTCTATATAGTATTCTAGGTCTTTGCATAACATTGACTGTTGACTGAATAAAAATATGAAATTTTCGTAGATACACAATAAACAATCATAAACATGTGTAATTTGAAACCATTTAACAAATAAATAAATAATTTGATATTTTACTGGTTTATAATAAACCTAGCAATGACCTTGACAGTATTGATCAAGTTTTTATAAATGATCATGTTTGTTTGGACAAAATATGTATATACAATTTAGGTCTACAGACTAATCACTAATCACTTGATAAACTTATTGTTAACCCTTTAAATATTATTAGGTGTAATCACGTTTTTTTGTAAACAGTAATATTAAAACTTAATCAGTACAATATCATGTGTAGTTGTCGTTGAGCTGCATGCAGGTTGTGGCAGGGGTTAGTGATGCTAACTAACTGTTCTAGTGTTAAAACTCAAATATATGTGAATCGGTCATTGAAAGTCGAATAGGTTAACTGTTAAACCAACAGATCAACTGTGTTCATTTGCGTAATTTCAAGCACATAAACCATCCAACGACGTTTTTTTTAAAGCTATTCCTAACTCCTACTGGAGCCGTTCCAGGGTTACTGTCGGTCCGAAAGCAGGATAAACGAGAGGACCTATGCATAACGGGTTAGTGAACTCATCTCGGTAGAAATCCAACTAACCAGAAAAATAATTACGGTAGTCAGCTGCCTATGTTCTTCATTAGGTGCAAGAGGCATAAGTAATGTATTTTTGTGTACTAGTTCATCAGTTAATGTCTAGTTAATATTAGATCCTTAATAAAAATTGAATTTTATCAATAAAGAAGTGATTGTGTGATGATTAAACTATGTGGAATAGTTAAACTATCAATCAGTTTGAGAAAAAAATGTTGAATTTGAAATAAAGCATTACATTTTCTTTGTAACCCAAATAACTTCAAGCATTTATTGGAGATCATCCAACCAGCTAGTGATATTTTAGTTCAGGGGTCTGTGAAGATACTTTATTTATCTTGTTCTTATAATCAACAAAAAGATCAAGGTCACACGATATAATAAATATTTAAGTGGACTCCACAATCAATTTCTGTTCAATAGTGAATTGTAAATAATAAAATGTTTCACTTTAAACTTTCAGTTAAAATAAAATCAGTTAAACATGACAGAATCAACGAAATTCATCACTGTGAATCAATTCTTGATAAAAACTAAAACTGTAGTTTTACAGAGGCGAGATTCTTATGTTCCCTGATCTTCACTACTTAACGATATGTTCCACTGTTTGATGATTGTCAGGTCTTCAATATAGACCAGTTCAAACGATTCAGTTTACAAGATATTTTCCAATGCTTGCCACATGAAGACTATAGGATTCTCATTAACTAGTAATGTAAATATGTCTATTTTAGATGGTCGATGTGACAATTATTTTCTACTGCCTAATTTGAATCAATACTCCTACAACTCTGCATCAGATGTTGGAATGATAAAAATATCTTCTTCGTACGTCAGTCATATCTATACCGAAATATTTTCATAAGTAATCTTTATGAACTTAAGTATAATTACGCTAGTAAAATTTTAATTTGGTTCATTGGTATAAAAGTTGAGCTTCCGCGCGCGAGACCGCGAAGGTCTTGGGTTCGGTACCGTGAGGGTCGCAGGAGTCGTGGATGCACACTGTCGATGAGTCCCACATTGAGACGAAACAAATGTCCAGTGCTTTATAGATTTCCGATGATGATGATGATGATCTAACAATGATCGATTCATTATTGATGCGCTCCAAACTTTAACGAACACACAGACACACACACACACAAACACTTACATTAAAAACATTTTTCAAAGCCGCTCCTCTATTGATACTACGTTCATCAATTGTATCTTGACTGGCCACATTGACAAGTTTACACAACAATATCCCATTCTTACATCGTTGATATAATTGACCATCAACTGCAGGGTCGATTGGTAGAATACCGTCTTGTAATTCATGATCATGACCCAAACGTTTATTGATCCAAAGTGTGAAAACTCTTTCTTCTGATTTACTCACGGAATGTCGAGTATCAGTATCATTTTTGCCAACAGTAAATGACTAAATAAAGAGAGAATTATGAAAAAAGATAGAAAATGTAGTATTACAATCCTATTATAATTTAATTTATCATAGTGTTAGGCATAATTTTGGTGTAGAGTTGACTAGTTCTAAAAATCATTATTGATCATTGTGACATGACCGTTGCACTTTAAGATTTATTGACGATCAATCAATGTGGCATGCTAACTACTTATCATTCAAATTGTATTTATTTTTTGAAACAATTTAGAAAAAGGTTTCTGATTAAAATGTTCACAAACTGAATTGCATTCGCTGAATTGTAGGATGCTTTCTGGTTGTGGAGCTTTGATCGCTCTTCTACTGAACACAACATCATCATCGTCATCAGCAGCAGCAGCACCAAACTTCAAGTAGAAGAAGTGAAGTTTATGAAAACCTCGAGCTCAGACAAAGAAACTGCCGTACAACACTATATGACATTTAAATCATTATAGATTATACACTGAAATTCTTTATAATATAGATGTGTTAAGATTTGCGATACACTTATTCATCTGATCAGTTCATTTATAGTGACATGGACAGCGAGGTATATCTGTGAACAAATTTAACATTTGAATGAACTAAACGTTATACTTATTATTGAGATTATTTCAATTGTAATTATTTCTCACAAAATAATTTCCTGACTTTTGTTAGTATATTTTGTAAGGTTATGAATGAAAATATTCGTATTAACTTGATCATTTCATGAAATTTCGCTAAGAGTGATCAGTCATTCAAGATTTGTGGATCTTTCTTTGTATGTCCACTTTTTGTCAAAAAATATACGCATGGATATGAATTATTAATCACAGTGACTTAATAATCTAAGCCAACACAGGCATCTGATGATTTTATGTCCTCATTACTAGTTTTGGTTTTGGTATTCTTGTTAAAAAATGGAACACTGATTTAGTACGGCAATCATCTCAAAGCCTGTTTATTACAAAAGTACATCAACTAATCAGGTGATTGTAACAGTGAAATGGAAAAACAGAATTGAGTTTTATCTCATAGGACAACAACACCAGTGAGGAATACACCGATCACACACACACAAAAAAACGTAAACACGCCAGCGAATAAATACACACAGATAAATAAATAAATAAATATACCTTCACATCTTCAGCATGTTTTAATAGTAAAGATTTACGTATTGATTTAGTGGTATCTTTCATATCTTTAGCTTTCATGTATAAATCATTGAATTCCGCTGGATTTAAACATTTTCTTGGTTGTCCTAGCAAATCACGAATTTCATGACCAGCCAGTGAGACACCGACAATATCCAATGCTTGTTTAATATCTTCCCATGCAATATTTTTCGATTCATTAAATGATTGAAAATTCATGCATAAATCATCCCATTGTTCTTTAGTCAATGGTTCAGCGGTCATTTTGAATGATAATGACGACGACACCCGACGATGAACAAGAAGAAGAAATCAATGAGAAGTAAGCTTTTTATCTGCTGTTATTATTTATATATATATATATATATATATTTAGCGTGATCAAGCAGTTATTCAAGTTTGTGTATATATGGTCTTATTGGTGTGTGTTATGTGTGTGTTGGAGTAGATAGATAGATAGATAGATGATTCACTTATTCATAATACTCATGATTAAAATTTTACTGTTTTATATTCTGCATTCAATTATTTCTAAAATGATCAGAGAGTTTACTAGATCACATGATAATAGATACAGGCATTAGATATGCACCACCGTCGTCAATTTGCATAGTACACTTGTATGTGCGTGTGTGTTTGTGTAAGTACGTGTTTGGTTGAAGTGGTACGATGACAATAAATAAAACCAATCAACCGTTATCACTTATTTGTTAGCATGAGAGCATTTTTAAAAAATAATAAATTAATGTGATCATGTCTATGCATCGTCATGATTGAAATGGTGCTGTGTGTAGTTGACATACATTGCACAATTATTATTCACATATCTGTGTGTGTGTTGTATGATGCGTTTTTTAATGTGAAAAATCGATGTGATTATGGCGCGAAATCAGTCAAGTACACGAACACATACATAATTGATTATTGAATAAACACAACTTCATTAATTGACATCGAAATGGTGTTTAGAACAATTAACATGTTATTAGAAAATGATATATCACTAATAACTAACTAACTAACTAACTAAAGTGATTATCATAACGATCAGATAATTTACACATATTCACATTGAAATAATTGTCACGTATGTGACAATTATTTCAAGTTGTCTCATACAGTTTAATGTAAATGACATGTATAGAAATTTTAGACTATTATAACAGTTTTCTTATAATTCTAAACAGAAAAATATATGTTGATAATGAGTGATTGAATCTAATAATTAATTAACCGCCTAGAGCCGCCTTTCTAGGGTGATTGCCGTTCTCAAGCGTGAATAAAGGAGGTGAGGTTTATCATGAAGGGGTTTGATGACTAACTCCTCCAGTCGAACCTTAGAGGCTACTGCCGGTCCCAAGTCCGGATAAAGGAGGAGGGTTGAGCATGGGATTGGCTACCACATTCCGTCAAAATCTAACTTGCCAAAAAAATGCTAACCAGAAAAAATAATTCAAACCATTTTAACTCTACCCTGGGAGTTGAAAGAAGAATTATAACGTCGCGTGATGAAAGTCGAGTTCTCTCGGAAGTCACGAGGCTGATGCCTCTTCTGACAACCAGAGCAACCGTATTTTTAGGTACATGGAACGTCCGTACATTGTGGGAGACTGGAAGACTATTTCAAGTTGCGGCAGAAACGAAAAGATACAACTTCGAGCTGCTCGGCATCAGTGAAACGCATTGGACACAGGTAGGACAACTGAGACTAGCTTCAGGGGAACTGCTGTTAAACTCTGGTCATGAAGAGGATAATGCTTCACATACACAAGAAGTTGCACTGATGCTGTCCAAACATGCACAAAAGGCACTAATAGGATGGGAATCTCATGGACCGAGGATCATTAAAGCATCTTTCAAAACAAAGAAAGAGGACATTACAATGAATGTCATCCAATACTATGCACTAAATAATAATGATCAATTCTACGAAGGGCTGCAGTCAATCGTCGACAGATGCTCATCAAAGGATTTGACCATTCTGATGTGAGACATAAATGCCAAGGTTGGAATGGACAACACTGGATATGAAGACATCATGGGACGACATGGACTGGGAGAAAGGAACGAAAACGGTGAGAGATTTGCAAACCTATGTGCCTTCAACAAACTGGTCATCGGTGGCACAATATTCCCGCACAAACGCATTCACAAAGCCACATGGATTTCACCGGATCACACTACTCAAAACCAAATTGACCATATCTGTATCAACAAAAAGTTCAGAAGGACCACGGAGGATGTGAGAACCAAGAGAGGAGCTGATATGGCTTCAGATCACCACTTGCTGATCGCCAAAATGAGATTGAAGCTAAAGAAGCACTGGACAACGGGGCAGACAACATCACGGAAGTTTAATACGGCCTTTCTTCGGGATACTGTAAAGCTCAACGAATTCAGGATAGCCCTCACCAATAGGTTTCAGGCCTTGCACGATATACTAAATGGAGAGGACGCAACATTGGAGTACAATTGGAAAGGGATTAAGGAGGCAATCACTTCAACGTGTTAGGAGGTCCTTGGTCGCAAGAAGCACCATCACAAAGAATGGATCTCTGTTGGTACTCTTGAAAAAATTGAAGAAAGGAGGAACTAGAAGGCAGCAGTGAATGTCAGCCGAACAAGAGCAGAGAAAGTTAAGGCATAAGCTGCATACACAGAAGCAAGCAGGGAAGTGAAGAACGATGCTAATAATGATCTAAATAATGTTACGAAACAGACTGATGTTTGAATATCAAAGTGTTGATTAATTGTCTGTACTACAGAAATCACAGATTTCTTCTAACAAAAATTATTCCATTTCTATGCAGGCAGGTGAATAATAGCTTGAAGAATACCTTCTTTGCATCTGAAAACTTGTTTTTCATGCGGTACATGGCATCTCCCTGGTTCATGTCAATTTCGTTATGCACACTGACACAAATTTGGAAAGGTTAAGCACACGCAAGACTTCCAAGTCATATTTAACACGAGAGCATTGAATGATAATAGGTCATAATCAGTTGATTAGCATAGAAAGTTTCTTCATAATGATATCTATTTCAGCCCTGAACTAGTTATACAATCACATTGACCACCAATTACCTTTTATTGACATGGTTAACATTTCACTGAGGAAAGAACGGGGTTGGTTATGTCAGTATCTCAATCCTAATTAGTATGTATGGCCTATCTGATCTTACAATGTTCTGTGGCGCAAGGCATGAAAATTCAGCCAGTACATCTATAAGTAAAGAAACAGTTTGTCTTCTTAAAAGGTAAACTAATTTTATATGGTTTAAGAGAGGCTATGGCGAATTGGTTAGATTAAATGGTTGAGAAAAGAATATTCATCCGATTTAGAATACTTCCATTTGTAAAATCACTAAAAGCTAATTGAAATATACTTAGCATTTGTAGTGATTACCGCTTGATGTTAAATACAAAGGGCTATTGCACTGGATTTGTACCACTGAATAAACTGAAGATAGATAATAGTATATAAATGAAACGAAACGGCCGTCCAGTGCTTCCAGGTTTCTAATGGTGGTTTAACATTGATCGATTCATGGTTTCAAAAATGTGTAACTTAACAATCTTCACAACTCCGTAATGCAAATAACCTGTGCTCACTAGTGACTAGCTTCGTGAGGAATCATCTCCGAGTTCTAGTGGGAAGACGTGACCAGTGAAGTTCAACCTGTTCGGGTGTAGACAGTAACTACCGAAGACTGTGTATGAGGTTGTGCAACTCCGTGAATTTGATGAAGTTATACATTAACACAGCTAGGAACCGGCTCAGTGGTCTGTCGGTTAGGGCGTTCGCGCACAATACCGAGGGTCCTGGGTTCGAATTCCGCGGGGTGCAGGAGTCGTGGATGCGCACTGCCACTGATGAGTCCCATACCAGGACGAGACAGCCGTCCAGTGCTTCCAGGTTTCTAATGGTGATCTGACATTGGTCGGTTCATGGTTTCAAAAATGTGTAACTAAACAATCTTCACAACCCCGTAATGCACATTATATTTTTCTAAAATATGTATATTTTTACAAAGTTTCATCGGATGATATGTCTAGTGAACTAAATACTATTAATAAATCTTTTTGGGTTGTTCAGAGACAGTTGTTCATACTAAAAATCTAGAATTACATAACAGACGTCGTCTAAAAACTGTTTTGACACTTTGGTGATGATACATACTTATGTGGCTATAAATTTTCACACAATTCTCAATTTCAACTAAATACAAACAACTGTATTGTAGATGCCACAAGTTTTAAACTGGATATGAGGCACCTAGCTTTTTTGATTTAAGTACCAGATCAGATTACGAACTGGTGCCTTTCAATTTTCTGGAAGGTTTCGTTTCTAAATTTATACAAATATTATCTACACTTTCTGACTTGGTTTCTAAAAAAGCAGTTTAAATGAGAACAGTGGCACGAGGATGTGCTGAGAGATATTTTATGGCTGTTACTGATGAATCTCCATCGGGGTTAGATGAGGTTTTAGAGCAGAGTGGAAACCTGTTATTTTAATTTCGCGATGGCTAAACTAGAGTGGTGAACAAGGATGTTTTCAGACCCAAAAGGCAGGCATTAACTATGGTACAGGCATTAATGAAACTGCATAAATACTTGTTTAGTATGAAATTCCATAGTGTGTGTGTACTCATCAACAGGTGTTGAAGTTTATTTATCTTCTAAATAAGTCACTTTATCGATTTTCAGCAGCCATGGACCAGAGATGAAATTCGTAATTGAACAACTATGATTTTACCATTGATCACTGAGTAGTCATACGCTGAAAGGCCACCTAACGAAAGTCATCACATTTCAGTTCAACTATCGCCTATCGATTTAGTAGAACTTGTCAAGGATACCCGCAATTACTTTGGAATTGCTATAAACTCAGTGAAGAGCTCAATTAGAATGTTCAGTGCAAGCGTAGGTTTTGTGAGTTTTGCAAAAGGAGCGAGTACATATTACTTCATCCTCAATGTTATTTTAACGATAGGCTATTTATTCTGTTCATCTAGGGGGCAGAGAAATTGATATCACTCGCTTGTTAGACCTTTGAGCAACCTAAGATCGATGCTGATGACATTACTCAGAAATCGAACAACTGTCTTGTTTGTTCCTACAAAAACTGTCATACAATAAACCTACAATTCAAATTCCAAATGGCTTGTTCTCTTTCGTAAAAATTAATTGTACGTTTAAACACCATTGTGCTGTATACACTAAAATATTTCATTTTTGGTGATTGATTTGAAAGAATGATTTTACCATGGCGTCGATTTTAAAACATGATAAATTTGTTTAACTTACAATCTGATAGTTAGTTATCAGTAAAAGTTGATGACTTACCACAACTGATGATCGTAGACTATAAACTGATCACTCTCTGGTGTTTGTAAATACACTGTCAGTGGATTTCCATCGGTATATTTCGTAATTGGAATATTTCGTAAATTGTCAATCAATACTATTATCTTCCTTACACATCAAAACCATCAATCAATCATTGTTAGACCACCATTAGGAACCTGGAAGCACTGGATGGCTGTTTCGTCCTGGTATGGGACTCATCAGCAGTGCGCATCAACGACTCCTGGGTTTCGGATCCTATGATTCTTATACCAGGACGAAACGGCCGTTCA